AATTAAATAAATAAAAAAATCAACGATTTGATAATTTTTTTCTATTACTGCCACAATTAAAATTTAACAATACTTCAGATAAAAAAATTCTGAATGCAGTCAGGGCTCGATTTAATGAAATCACGAGTTAGCGATCGAAATCGTGGTTACGTAATTTATTTAAACTTTATTGCCGTTACTGATTCATCGATAAATCGAGCGCTGTATCGTATACTAACGCTACGAATGCAGACTTGTTATGTACTAGTACTAAAAAAAGCGACGGTTTATCAATAAAAGCTTAAGTTCATTGTACACCGTGTTCGTTATAACAAGATTCGTTATATCCAGAGCTGATTGTATTTTTGGTGTTCTTATGACACAATGATAAGTATGAAAGTTTCATAGGTTTCTCTTACAATGGCCTAGACCCTGTTCTGTACTACAACACTGCTTGGCGCACAAACTCAGTTAAAAAAAGGCATCTAATAATCGCAAAAGCAGAAAGAAGTGAATGTTCCAAATTTAATCTCCATGCATGAATTTGACACAGAAAAGCTGAAAATAGAGTAACATACTAAAGCTATGCATTGATTTAACTTTTGTTATGGAAACTGTATATAGCACATTCATGAATCTAAAAAGTACATGAAAGGGAGAGGATAGTGATGCAAGGTTAAGAGATTGAACATTTGATTTTTATTATATCCTTTATATAATGGTTGGTGTTTTGTAGATATAAGAAATGTTATTTGTGTAAGAATGAGCTTTAACGTTAACGTTAACATTTTATGTTTACGCAATACTTTATTAGATAATGACGGATGAAAGGTCATGATTCTGTGTGGTACTATACATAATACGTGTCGTGTCATATCCCATCCTCACCAAATTGTTGTTTTAGTAAAGTAAGAAAAACTATGGCAAGTTTTGAGAATGTTAAGACGAGTGGTAATGATAATTAATATAATAAATATGATAGGATAGTAAAATTGAACCCTAAATTCGCAATACTGAACTGCAAATATAAATATAGATCTATAAAGTGTGTGTGTATGCTATCTTTTAACTGGTTAACTTTGAAGTCCACGTGTTTACAGGTCTGTCTAGCTATGAAATAAATAAACACAAACACACTATAGAAGAATTATGCGTAAAATCGCGTCAATCTATTGAAAAATCCTTGGTCCATGTCTGACTCGTACTATAGTATTTCCACCACACAAATTTTTTTACGCGATGTAAATTTAATAATTTTTACATGTATTAACAAAATATGTAGTTGTAGAGAATTTAAAAATAGAAGTGCCAAAACCATTTGATATTAAACATAGCGATAGCATAACATTAATCGGTTATTCTATATCGATATGGTTATACTGCATGAATAAAATGATAACGATAATGTCTCGGTATTGTGTATCTGCAAATATTTTCTACGTGAAACAATAGAATATCGATACGCATTCCGAGAAATTAATTGACAGAAGCGTTTTGTTTCATATCTTTTAAGGATTGATTTTATTAACTCTAAACGCCCGTCCTAAAGAGTCATGGATAAATGTCGGGGCATTTCGTCTCATTATTAAATATTTATTATTGACAAAACGATAATTTAAATATTGTTGTTTCCTCCGTTTCTTTAGACCAAAAAAACTCAATTCCGTTGTCTAATATTCCGCATTTGTACTAGTTTGAGAATTGATGCATGGTGCATCTCATTTTTGAAGTTCGTTGGTTTAAATTAAGAGGCTAATCATTTATGAGCAACATTTTTTTGAGTTGAGAAATAAAATTTTACCAATTAAAAGATGCACCGCATCCATGAAACTTGGTGATTTATTTATAAATAGTATTACACAATGTACAAAATTTCCTTGTGCATATCCTCGTGGTACATAATCGCCGAAATATGACGGAATCAGGGGAAATCATGTTTCTAACCAGATATTTTGCAACCCATTAATGAGTAAATTTTTCGAGTTTCGATATCGAGGTCTATATGAACAATTACGTTTTATTCCTTTTTTTAGCGGGCTGATTAGTGCCGTGTTAAGAAGTGAAGTCGAAAGGTCTTTTTTCTTCAAGTGAGAAAGAAGAAGCAACATAACAATGGCCAAAATCGATGTAATGATGCATTAACTTTAATTAAAAATTCATGAAAGTCATGAGATTCAATTGGTGTGCGTATAGAAAAGATTCCTGAGAGTACACAAAAATATTAATTTCGAAATCTTTGTCGTACCCAACCTTTGCAAGGTGACCCCTTAAAGTAATTGTTATCTGAATAATGATTTTTTGTCGTGTCTCAAATAACAATGAACATTAGATTACAATCGCTAAGGTTTAATAAGCCGAATAAATGAAAAATTGATTGTGAAGCATTTTTAGGGATTTTCATTTACAAAGAGTATCGTTCCCAACATCATTACTATATTTCAACATCAATCATTCGCACTTTGTAAGCATGTACGTAGGGTATCATCAATAATATTCACATACTTTATATATACACAACACATGCATGTGCATGTACGCACACGTATATTATTTCCTGCGTGTGGAAGAATGAATTGGGACGACGATGGCGGAAACAGTGAAGCAAGTCCTTTAGTTTGTGTTTTCTCTTTTGTCATTTTCTATTACATCTTACTCGCATTCCATACTTTTTCTTTTTTCCATATTAAAAAAAGAGTTATTGTTGTTATTCGGAAATATTTTTTTCATGAATAAATGGAGAAGCATATGTACATGCGACTAATAATCATTGTGAAAGAAACCAGACATAGTTACAGAATAGAATAATGTTTAATTACTATCTATCTATCTATCCAAGCATTAAAATGCGATTAAATAATCCTATTCGTTTTCTCCAAAGAAATATCTATCCAATAACTCGCAGCATGACCAAGAATTGGATTGTTGATTATTAAATACGGCCCCTTTCTCTTTTTTTTCTACAATATTTTTTTCGTGGCTTAATATTTCTTTGATATATCGTATCAATAATTAATTGTTTTATACCTGTTTTCAAAACCATTCACTCGCACAATATTTTCTTCATTTCTTTGTTTTAATCGTCACCCAGAACACACAACTCATTTTGTCAAATTAGAAAAGAAAAGAATTGAAACCAATCACCATCACCTGACACTAAACCATTTGAATATTTATATGTATTTAAAATACAAGCACACATAAATAAAAAGATTGCCATATATTGTTACTTTAACCAGTGTACAAAAAAGTATATAATCCATCGTGATCTTGTAATTAATTTATTTCTACCTTTAATATCAAAATAACACAATAACACAAAAAAGAACAAGAAAAATATAAAATTCATTTCTCTTCTCTAGCATAATATTTTTACATATATCCATATATCCATATATATATATATAAATACGACGAGACTGTTTTGTCACGAAACGAACTCTTCTTTGATAATAATAATAATAATAATACACACAAAATGTCAACTTTAACGAGACAATCAATTCCTCATTATATTCAACAAAATACATCAGCACCAAAAATATCAACGACGAATACAAGTACAACGGCTTCTAAATCATCGAAATCACCTCGTCTATTTAGACGAAGTAATAGTGTTCCATTGCCACCTTCGTCTTCGTCCAAAAACTCGACTCCTTTTCTGTTTCCCTACCGAAATAATACTTTTCCAAAGTCTCATAATAATCACTCGATCAATACAACTCGGTTATCGTCATCATCAGATCGATCGGAAGAAGACGCTTCAGACTCAAAAAATGCAGCCTTTCTTCCGTTTGGACCAAAATATCCTGATTTCTCGATAAAGACTCAGTGCCCACACTGTAATAAATATGTGCGGACTATTGTGCAACACGAGAATGGCACCTGTGTTTATGTGTTGGCGTCTGGTTTGTTTTTAACGACGGTTGTTCTTTTTTGGGTGCCATTTTTTGTGGATGCTGTAAAAGGTTTGTTAATTCTTTTTCTTTGAATCTTCTTCTCTAATTAATAAACTTTTAGCTCACGATTCGTTATTTTTATGTGTGTAGATGTTAAACATAGTTGTCCAAATTGTCAAAATTACTTGGGAACAAGACATCGTCTAAAAATCATTTCATAATTTAACACAAGGATATTCTTACTCGATGTATATAACAACAACTAATAATACTATTACTACTATTAATATTAATAATAATAAAAATAATAAAAATAATAATAATAAACAATAACAACAACTAATAATCACAACAACAAAACAACAACCGATACCGCACAATTATTAATTCATTGATTCATCAAAAATCCCAATATTTATCTCTCATAATTTCACGTTGGTTTTGCATACAACATCAATCTATGCTTCCAATAAGTATTTCCAATGTGTTCATTCACCACCGCGTATACACACAAACGAGAATAGTTGGCAATAAAATAAAATCAATCGATCAATTACATCAGCATTTTCGGGAGGATGGCTATCACCAATTACTGGACTTTAATAATACAAAAAACAATGGCGACTTGTTTTACTAATCTCCCTTTAATTGTAATAAATATGCATCACTTATTTAAAACTTCTTTAATACTCGCATTAATATAAACTTGTATAGTTTTTCTTACTTTACCAGGTTAGATAGAATATGACGCGACACGTATTATGCGTATTATTTATAAAAAAAACATGATTTCTTCATTACCTAATAGTGTCGCATAAACATAAAATAAAATCTCTTACTTGCACAATAACATTTATCTATCTTTCGTATATTTTAGATTCATGAATGGACTATTGAACACCCTTTGTTCTGTGTCAAATTTCACGCTTAAACCGAGATTAATGAATGTATTCATGGCAAACACCTAAATTAGTTTGTAGTGTTGTAATAGAGATATAGAAAATGCACAAACTGCGTGTTTATCAACTTGAAATGCTTTGAATTCATAGCATTATGAAAAAGATTAAAATGGGATATTTTCACTTTATTCCAAGATCAAGTATTAGTCTCGATTTCATCCTTAAACTGTCTCGAACTATCATATACAAAAAATTGTCTCTACTTTTTTGTCCAATTATTTATTATTAGGAAGTTATTTTAGTTGATTGGATTTTCTGCGGGATAAAAAGTCGTAAGCATTTTTTTCCACCCATACATAATTATTGACGCTAACAATGCTAATTGGAACTTGTAATGATAAGCGAGCGTTGACACCTTAGGGAAGTTAATAGAATGATGTTTCACCCTTATAAACTATAGTCCACCCCCGTCAATATGATATCATCGGAACAGAGTTTTTAGTCATAATAACGAACATGTCACATTGTTTATTTTTCGTAACAGGTGTCATATTAATGGGGAAGGGGTGGATTTTCGCTCACAAATTCGGTAAAAATTGCAAAGCAGATAGATAAGACACAAAAATTAAATTAATTGGTGAACTAATATTTGATAAGTATTGAAAGTTAAGAAGAAAATTAGAATTTAGGAAAAGAATAAAAACTACGACACTCTGTATTCCCGCGTGGTCCCCCACCGCAGTACTGATAGAGCCATCAGTGGCTTAACTTCGGAGATCAGACGGGTTCCGGTGCTTTTCACTGTGTATGGCCGTAGCTGATTTAAAAGTTTAAATTTTTCTATTTGTTATCGATTATTTTTCTCTTTTTTACGAGATAAATACCGGTAAATTCCAGTAAATTGCTTTCTTTTCGTCGCCATTTGATAAGTATTGAAAGTTAAG